CTTACTAGTTTTCATTTTTTCTTCACAATTCAGTTTAATATTTTGGTTTTGGTTGTTGCTATTATATTTTAATTTTTTCTATTATATTCTTCTGATTAGTTAGTGCTGGAATATACAAAAGCTATTAACTTTTGTCTTTTTATAGAGCTTCACTGAAATAATTTAATCTTTGGGGTTTTCAGTTGATTCCATTAACTTTCTATATACATAATCATAGTATTTGCAAATAATGACAAGTTTTGACTCTTTTCCAAATGGTTACATTTTTTTTTCTGTGTCATTTATATTGCATTAGCTAAAACTTCCAAACAGTATTAGTGTACATGTCTTGTCCAGGATTTTAATGAGAATTCTGCTCATGTTTTACTATCAAATAAAATATTCATTATTGGTTTAAGATAAATATTTTTTTATTATTTTGAGGGAGTATTTTTCTGGTTTTAGTTTCTTAAGAGTTTTTTCTTCAAAAATCACAATTTTGGGGTGCCTGGGTGGCTCGGTCAGTTAAGTGTCTCCTTCTTGGTTTCGGCTCAGATCGTGATCCCAGGGTCATGAGGCTGAGCCCCGTGTCAGGCTCCACACTCAGCAGGGAGTCTGCTGGAGATCCTCTTTCCCTCTCCCCCTCCCCCTGCTCATGCTCTCTCTATCTCTCTAAAATAAATAAATAAAATCTTAAAAAAAAATCATAATTTCTGTTCGGTTTTTGTATCTGTCCCAACTTCATGAAATGGATCAGGTGACTTTCTATTTTGTTTATAATATGGAACAGTTTACATGAATATTTATTTCCTAATAGTATGGAAGAACTCACCAGTAAGACCATCTGTTTTAAGATCATTTTGGATGTAATTCTTTGAAGGCATTTTCTCTTTCATTAGAGGTTATCTGGAATTTTCATGAGATGATCAAGTTTATTAGAATCAAGATGATTATATATTAAATATGTCATATTATGTCTTATAATTAAATGAAACCATCACATTCATGTTTATATTTTATTACATTATATATTTTATATTTTAATGTCTCTGATTTGTTTTTTTGTTTTTAAAATTGGCTTTCAAATATTTGACATGTTAAAGAACTGGTTCTCAATTTTCCTGCTTCCTAATTATGTAATTTCTACTCTTATCCTTATTATTTTCTTCCTCCTCCTTCTCCTCAGTTTGTTCTACTGTCGTTCTTCTAATTTTGCAATTATTCATTACATGTTTTCCCTTTTTAAATTATGGAAGTATATGATACTTTGAATTTACTTCCCAATATAGTTTAGGCTATATTCTACAGTTTTTGAATGAGAACCTTCTGATTTTTATTATTTTTGGAATAGTCTATGATGGTGGTTTTGATCTCCTTGTGAATCTACTGTTCTTTAGGAGAATTTAAAAATCAAGTGATTGGATTTTGCTTGTTTATTCATTTACCCTTCTATTATTAATTTCTGATTTTGTTGCCTTATGATCAAATAAAATAACCTTTATGATTTTTCCTTCTGGCTTTATACAGATTTTTTTCTTTGTGAACTAGTTTAAGATCTATTTTAGTAAATACTCTCTGGATCCTTGAAAAAAATGAGATATTTAATTTGTTTATAGGTTATAGAGTTATTTCATCTAGTGTTGTGATACTTATTTTTGCTTCTTGACCTCAAAGGTAGAAACAAATATTTTAAAGCCTCTCAGTACTTGTATCTCTGTCAACTTCTTCTTTTATATCTATTTTTTTCTTAGTATATATATTCATCCTGTTTTTCACAGTATATATTTTGATTCTGTTATTGCACACCTACAATTTTATGACTATTACATCTCAGAAATGAGTGTACCTTTTATCCAATAAAAAGTGACCTTTTTTATTCCACTTCATGCTTTTGACATGTTGGAAGGTTAGTTTGCCTAAAATTAATATAATTAATAATATCATTTTTTACTTTTAATTTCTCTATGCTTGATAAAGGATAAAATAAAAAGATATATACATCCTTTTGCTTTAAGTACGTCTTTTACAAGAAACACATCATTGGGTTTTAATTTTTAACCCAATATGAGGGTACTGTTCTTTTAATAGGGGACTTTAGCACATTTTTTGGGTCGTTATTGATATAGTTAGTCTTAACCTCCTTCATCTCGCCTTAAAATTTTTTTAAAGTTTGCTTGTTATTGTTAGGGTGATGTACGGGATTGTCGAATCACTATATTGTACATCTGAAACTAATATAACACTGTATGTTAACTAACTTGAATTAAAATGAAAACTTAAAAAAATTAAATGTTTGCTTGTTATTTGCTTTCTGTCTGGTCCACATTGATGGGGTTCATGAGATTTAAACCCTCCCAGATTTGAAAGGTGTGCACCCTGTTTTTGATTTCACTAGTGATTATTCAAATTTTCTTCTGACTTAAGACTTCTTCATTATCAATGGGCAGAGAGACAATGAAAAGATTCAGCATATTGTTACTATCCCTTTTTTTTTAACTTTTAAAAAATTTTTATTTTTATTTATTTTTTAAAATTTTTATTTATTTATTATTTTTTCCCTATCCCTTCACTGAGGCCTCCCACGTGCTTTCAGCCTTGGTTAATCTAACCTTAGGTTTGGGACCCAGCTCCCTAATGTTTACATGACAGATCTTCCATCTCCTGGAATGATTTTCACCACGTGCATTCAGTGGTACAACCATATTTAACAGTTTTTATTTTCCTTCATCCTAGTTTAACTGGTTTTAATTTTTACCAAAAATTGTTTTGTGTCATGATGTCCTGTCATTAAGCCTTTCACTCTGAGTTACTTCCCAGCTGGTGTGTGCCTTCAGGAAAATGTTTCAACAAGGGGACTTCTGTTTTCACTCTTGTGAGCTGAAGGTGACTTTCTGTTATGCCCTGAATTACGTCTCCCCCAAATTCATATGTGGAAGCCTTAACCCCCACTGTGACTGTATTTGTTTGTTTGTTTTTTTTTTAAAGATTTTATTTATTTATTTGAGACAGAGAGAATGAGAGAGACAGAGAGCACATGAGAGGGGGGAGGGTCAGAGGGAGGAGCAGACTCCCTGCTGAGCAGGGAACCCGATGCGGGACTCGATCCAGGGACTCCAGGATCATGACCTGAGCCGAAGGCAGTCAGTCGCTTAACCAACTGAGCCACCCAGGCGCCCTGTGACTGTATTTGGACACAGGATCTTTAAGGGGGTAATTAAGGGTAGGTAAAGTCAGAACGGTGGGGCCCTAAGCCATGAGGAAGAAGAAGAGACACCAGGAGTGAAAGCCATGTGAGGACACACAGAGAAAAAGCCCTGTGAGGACACGGCAGGAAGGTGGCTGTCTGCAAGTAAGCAAGAGAAGCCACACCAGGACAACCCCGCCAGCACCTTGGTCTTAGACTTCCAGCCTCCAGAGCCGTGGGATGATAATACATTTCTGTTGTTTAAGCTGCCCCGTCTGTGGTATTCTGTGATGGCAGCCTGAGCAGACTCCTACATCTCCACACGTGGCTATCCACGGACCGTATCTTAAGATCACTGGGTCACAAATGTTTTCCCAGGGAGGTGAAATCTCTGAAGGGTGGCCTGGAGAGAGGGTCAGGGTGGGAGCAGGAGAAGCGTTTGTTTCAAAAACGAAGTCCTTGCAGTAAGAGAAATGAGTTTCCAGATCTCGCTGAGCCAGGTGGGAGAGGATTTGATTTCTTCCAGCCTTTTTTTAGAAGACAAGAGGAGTTTGGATAGATTTTTCTCAATTTAGCTCCATCAAAATTATAAGTAGTAGAAATTTCCTCCATCCTTTCTAATTCTAACAAAGTGGTAAGCTATTATTAGTTTTTGCTGTAGTGTGTTTTCATCTTTTTCTTAGGCTTCATAGAAGCCCGAAGATTGAGGTAAGGTTTTGCAGAAAAATCTCTGCTTTTGATACCCTTTATAGAAGTTGCCATCCCTAGAGTCTGTCTCCAGGGGCCAGTTTTATAATCTGTAGAAGTCACATGGAACCAAGAGTGATGGAAATACATCTACGATTCAGGCCTGGTAGAAATCTCATGCAAACCCTTCCGCTAGTAGAAGAAAACTTGATGTTCTGAGGGTTCAAAATAGTAGGTTTTTGAGCTATCTGAATACTCCACAAGTGAGGGAACTTAGAAACACTACTTTTGCCTCTTGAAGTTTGCACATTCACGATAGTACTGAAGGTGATACTAATGTAAGAGCCCGGGGAGCACCCTGGCCCCGAACACCAGGATAGTGCTTTCTCTTCACCACCGAGTTTTTAGCTGGGTTTCTAGCTAAGCAGGAAGGATGCCTGACCCCTGTCGTGGTGCTGAATGGAGGGCTGCTGTGGGTATGGTTAAGTTGGGGAAGGAGGATGTTCCCTTTCTTTTGCTTGCTCATTTGTTCAGGGCTTTACTCATTGTTCAACAGATATCATTGTGCACCTGTTCTGCGCCAGGCACAGTGCTGGGTGCTGAGTGAGAACTCGCCATCTCCCCTTGCAGCGGGGAGTTCAGGTCAGTGCCTCTGCGGTGAAGTGTGTGCACTGCGGGGGTCCTCCCCCTGGGACTCCGGGGGTCACAGTGCCTGGGAGGAAGTTCCGGCGCGAGGGTACACACTTGGCTTCTACATAAGGAGACGCTTTCTAGCAATTAGACGTATTCATCAACAGAGCAGGTTTCCTTTTGGGGCGGCAAGTTCTCTGCCACTGCAGTGACTCTAGAGGAGATGAGATGCTCAAGGCTACTGCACGTGAAGTCTTAGAATTCACCAGTTCCAAGTGTGAGCGCTTTGGGGACAGGTCTTTGTTTCACTCGGTTGGGGGACCGGTACCTCGCAGTGCCCGACACATAGTGGGTGTTCAATAAAGGCTTAGCAGGTACGTGAATGGGTGGATGAAAAAAGTGGAAGACAGGCTGCACTAGATGATTTCCCCAAACCCTGGGCAACTCTGAAAGTCAGCGACTTCGTACTATCAGTGCCCCAAAGGAGCCCAAGAGAAAACTTCTCACCCTCATCACTCACCGTGCATGGGGGCTGCATCCAGGGCTCTCCATCCACTTGCATTGGCAGCAGCTTGTTTGTCCTGGAATACCAAGAACCGAGAGAACACAGTGAGCTTTAATGCTTCTGGAGTCCAAGAATTTTAGGGTGGTCCTCACAAAGGAGACAGAAGTGAGAAGACCTTATCTGCCCACCTAGGAGTGGTTCCCTAAGACTCCCCTGGAGGGCTTGTTAAAAATTGATTTCTGAGCCCACCTCAGGAATTCTGACCAGGCAGGTCCCAGGGTCACAACTCAGGCTATGGGCGATTCTGTTGCATTGGTGCTCAGGCCCTAGTTTGAGAAACACTGTCCGGGGTGAGCAGTAAAGTCCACAGCAGTCTGGGAAACAGCGGCCAACAAGGATGGCAGCACCACTGCTGAGCAGACCCTCAGTCAACAACCCAGCCGGAGGGCCTACAGACTGTGCCAGAAACTCCACAGTGAAATGGGAATGGTTATGAAATGGGAAAAGGCCTGGTTTCTCTGTTGAGTGAGAGGTTGCATCATGTCAATGAAGTAACGTCTCCAATCTAGGCAAGGTACAGCTCAGGTCTGAGTGTGTTTGCCTTGCCCCCGCTCCTAACTATCCTCTCTTTTTTTTTTTTTTTTAAAGATTTTATTTATTTGACAGCGAGAGAGGGAACACAAGCAGCGGGAGTGGGAGAGGGAGAAGCAGGCTTCCCGTGGAGCAGGGAGCCCGATGCGGGGCTCGATCCCAGGACCCTGGGATCATGACCCGAGCCGAAGGCAGACTCAACGACTGAGCCACCCAGGCGCCCCTAACTATCCTCTCTTTTATGTCTTGAACAGTAGGGCACTCTGTGGTTGTATGGACTATGAACCTGACTTAGCTGGGAAGTGGGGTCATTGCGAATACTGTCCCCACAGGTAGAAGGAGAGGAGAGAAGACCGTGTTGCTTTCCCGTTTGGGATCAGGCTTCTCTGCCATACAGATTTTTTAAAGGAGAGAGATGAGGTCTTTTGACTCCCTTCTGTGGAAGAGTTGTGAATTCGTACTATATCGCCTTCGGGAGAAAAGGCAAGTCCTTTTGGAAGCCTCTGGTCTGGGTGAGCAGGGAACAATTGCCATCCTAGAGTCTGGGAAGCTCTCACCTGGGTTTGGCATCTGCCCTGCTTTTGAATTGATAAAACGAGGGACACAGGCTATGTTCTGATGTCGATGACTGTCTGACTGATCTTGAGAATATTTAATAATAAAAAATAATAAACCTAATAAAACCAATCATAAGAGGAGAGAGTGGTATTTTGGTTCTTGGGACTGAGGAGGGTGTCTGGGAAATGCCCAGGAGGATGGGGATCTTGGCTCACCCCCTCTGTCCTATCTGAAAATAGGTCCACTGAATGTGAAGAAAAAGTCCTCCCTCTCACACATGGCTTTTTTTGATTCCCCTGGGACTAAGATGTTACGTTCTCTGTGGTCCATATCAGTTATGGCTTAGCTGTGCGAACAGACTGGACCTACTCAGTGCTGGAGTCGTGGAGGACAGACAAGGAAGTAAGTGTGGAGATTAATGTGGAAAACAGGGGCCCCAGAATGACAATAGCCCAGGGAGAAAACAAGCAAAGCTCTGGGTAATACTAGAAAAGACAGAGAAGATACAGGGAGGGAATGAAGAAAAGGGTTCAGTGGGATAGACCTTTAGCTAAGAGATGTCAGGGACCCAGCTCTGGGGATCTTCCCGAGGGATGCAGGGTAGCACCAAGAGCAGCATTTCCCTAAAAGTGTGCTGAGGACACTCGCCCAAGAGGTTTTGGGAGAAAAGGGTTCTGTGGTCAAATAACTTTGGGAAACCTGCATACTGTGGCCCCTCCAGGAGATCCCTAAGGCACGCTAAAGGATTTGAACTGCAAAAATTGGATGGGGAAAAGGAAGGGAATAAAGATTTCTCAAATAACCAGGTGGAGAAGAACCTGATGAGTTTTATTGACTAAACAGAAGCAACTGAAATCAGAGGATCCCCCCTCTGAGACTCCATTTCTTCCAGCAGCCTGCAGTGACCGACCTGTGAGGTCCACACCCTGCAGAAGCATCACCCTCGGCTGATGTTGATGGATTGGCTCTACAAAGGCAAATAGGGAACAGTATTTCTAAGGCCACTATCCAAGAAGGAGTGAGCCGAGAACCTGGTTTCTGTCACAGTGTGCCCTCTGGCATACATCTAGCATCTTAATTTGTAAAGATAAGAAAGGCAACACCAAGCAGAGGATTATAGGGGGAGGGAGGGAAAACTGAAAGGGAAGAAATCAGAGAGGGAGACAAACCACAAGAGACTATTAAATCCAGGAAGCAAACTGAGGGTTGCTGGAGGGGTGATGGGGTAACTGGGGAATGGGCATTAAGGAGGGCACGTGATGTGATGAGCACCAGGTGCTCTACATAACTGATGAATAACTGAACTCTACATCTGAAATGAATGGTGTACTATAGGTTGGCTAATTGAATTAAAAAAAAAAAAAAGAAAGGCAAGAAGTTGGATCTCTGGTTCTCTGGACCTCATAATCTTATACTATTTAGAGAATTTCACCAATTCATTGTAAGGTAATAGCAAACAGGTCATGGTGGACCCTTCAGTTGATGTCTTGGATGGTTGGGAAATGGTCTCTAAAGACATTCTTTATAAATGTTATCAAGCTTCTGTCCCGCACTCTCCCTGCACTGAAATCCAAAGATGACTTCTTAGTTCTTGTCTGTAAGAACTCTGAGGGGGGCGGAAGACCTGGAGGCTGCTGGATAATGAGGAAGCATACCTGATGGTTACCGAGGAGCACTGGGCCAGCCTCCTGCCCGCACTCTTCAGGCCAGTGTAGATCTGCCCCATCTCCATGGCTCCCTCTAGCCCCACCACTTCAAGGAGCTGGTCACTGAGGTCTGCAGAGTGAGACAAACAGAAGTAGTGCATACACATCTCTCTGTTCCTCAGGCTGGTTTTTCTCAGAAACCCAGATCTATCAAAAATACCCTTTCATCTCCCACCAAACAGCATTTTCAAACTCATTCTGAATAGGGAATTTCCCCAAAGGTCAATAAATGTACTTTTCATGAACAGAAACCCAGTTCTAGTGAAAAAAGGTTTTGATTCAGAACATTAATATGCATCCAATGAATAGGTTGGCAATTCTAGAAGCCTCTTTAAATGGAGAGCAACAAATGATGAACCAGCTATTTCCGAAATGATTTTCAAATCCCACCCCCACCCCCACCCAGTGCAGCTAAAGACACATAGGAAGGAATGGTGACAAAAGTCCTTCTCCGAGCTGGTTCAAGTTTCTTTTCTCTGAATGTCGGAATAACATCATGGCCTTGATGATGATGGCTGATGGTTAACCAACCTCAAATTTGGCCTGTGGGAAGCCAGTGTGAGCCAACCTCCTTGGACATCCTTGGGGAAATCAGTGACCTCTTTCAGGACACCAGGTACCTCATCTGAGCCAAGGAAATGAGTATTTCACCTACACCAGATTATTCTGGGTCCACAGTAGAAAAAGTGGGACAGAAAATATGTGTCTAAGTCTCAGAGTCACATAGGATCGATGGCTTCCCACAGTGGCAGTTACTTCTGATTCAGCATCTGGAAGATGTCTTTTGTTCAGAGTTCCTGAGGCTTGGGCTGTCCCTACCTGATTTCTTGTGAAAGCAATGGCAGGATCAAGGTTTGATGTTGGGAACAAGACTCACTTTTACAACACAACTTCTGTAGTTAAAACAGAAACACAACAAAAAGGCAGATTCTTTAAAAGCTTCCATTCTTTTGCCTACTAAAGCAAAGGTACTTGGGGTGCCTGGGTGGCTCAGTTGTTAAGCATCTGCCTTCGGCTCAGGTCATGATCCCGGGATCCTGGGATCGAGCCCCCCCATCGGGCTCCCTGCTCCACGGGAAGCCTGCTTCTCCCTCTCCCACTCCTCCTGCTTGTGTTCCCTCTCTCGCTGTCTCTATCAAATAAATAAAATCTTAAAAAAAAAAATAAAGCAAAGGTACTTTTCTCACAGATTGTACTTAGTCACTAATATCCCAAACTAGAAAGTTCATGTTTTTATTTATTTAATAGATGGGTTTTGTCTAAGGTGCCTCCTGGTATAGTATAATGGTGTTTGTTAAGATTGTCAAGGAGATATTTGGGTTTGTCTTTACTTTTTTGTTTAGAAGACTGTTGTTTAAAAACATTTTCTTGATGGATGCATTTCTAATGAAGAGTGAAGCAGACCACGGAGCTGACCACAAATGTGTCAACACTGCTCCAGTCCAACCTACTGATGATCACTGATGGACAGCAGCTGCCAACAGATACACAAACTGCACTCCTTCATCTTCCTGTGACAGGCACAGAGCTTTCCCCTCCATTTCAATCCACACTCCCATTCTCCTTCTCTGGTTCTCCTTCTTCTTCTTCTTCTTTTTCATATCTGAAAAGATACTGTCTCCTTAAACTCTCCATCTCATTTGGGCTTGGAACAAGAAGCCATGAAAGAGCAGTGTTTGTTTAGGAGAATGCTCCAGGCTCTTCTAAGGAGTTTGGATCCAATAAACACAAATATCTAAACCTCTAGTCATTTAATTAGTTCCCTTCTTACCAAAGAGCATTAAATAACCATTGGATAGTCTTAGCTTACTGTGTCATTTTAACAGTGTCTGTGAAATCAGCATGGGTTATGAATGAGAGAGGGGAGAGAAAGGGAGGAAGGGGGAGGAGGGAGGAGGGAGGAGAGAAATAAAGGAGTGTGTCTAGGGGTGAGGAGGGTGGGGGAGTTATACTGGGGTAGGAGAAAAAAAGCAGCAGAACTTTTCAGAGGTTCCCCTAATGGCAGAAAGACAGATGTCTTGTAAAATGTTGCTCTTCGTACCAGGCTTAGGTATCTGACAGTGCTGTTATAGTTCAGTGTTTTCCCTCCTTGAAACATTTCCTGGTAACAAAATGTTCTAAGAAGCAAGGGACTTAATAGACTCAAGTGTTTCAGCTTTTACAATGTCTTGGTCTTTTAACAAATTTTCCTGTTGAATGGCTTTAAGTTGTTATCACTTCCCACACATTACCTTGCAGCTATCACTTCCCACACATTACCTTGCTTCCTGGCTCTAGAAGAGAAGTAATGAAGGCTGATCTCATCCACATGGTGGGTGGGTGGGGGGCAGAGGCTCACACACATGTGGGACTGAGGAGATAAATGCAGGGTAAGGGGCTAGGATATACTGGTATACTTTTTGCCATTTTGCTTTTGAATTTGTCCTCTGAATCTTCCCTGGCATAAAGAGGCTAGGATGACTCCTGTCTACTACCGAAGGAAGACTTGATTGTTCTTCTACTTCTCCACCATTGCCTAGCTGATCTTTCTTTCAATTTCTTACAATGCCTACCATGAGGTTCTGAGATAAAGAAATCTATTTAACGTTGTTTCCCAAACTTATGGGACCACAAGTCTCTTCTTTTGTGGGATACCTATAAATAGTCCATGGTAGTTTTCTTTGATACACACTTTGGGATATTTTGGCATCATTTAATTCCCTTTACTTCCTTTAGCCCAGAGATACTTATGCATAAATTAAATTTGGAGTTAAAATGAAACAGAATAGAGTGCAAGTCAACATCCAAGCACACAGAACAATTAATGTTTGAAGCTCAGAATCCAGAATCAGGTCATCTGTTATACCAGGTCTGTTTTACCTGGTACCAGTGATTCAGAGTGTGGTTTTGGCAATTCACATCATCTCCCTATTGTCTGTCTTTACACTTTTCAACTCATTAGTATTTAAGCTGGAATATCCATGCACCTTAGTAAAACAGGAATTCATTCATTCCTTCATTCATTCATAAGTTACTGAGTAGCAACTGAGTGCCAGATAAGAACTGGGAATACAAAATGTTCTACTCTTGAAGGACTCTTGACCAAGAGGGAGAAAATGTATTAGGTGTAGAAAATGCTGTAATTGAACTATACGGATAGGGAAGCCTGAGTAACTGATTCTGACTTGGCTAAGTATGGGAAGAAGGTGTCACAGACATTTAAGGAAAGTCTTGAAGGATGAATGCCAGGTAATTTGCTGGGTTAAGAAGGAGAAGGAGCAAAGATGTTCCAGGGACAGAGATGATCATATGTAGGGTTGGATGGTCACAGAATGCAGAAAGAAATTAATTTAGCAATAAATCCACTTGGCAATTTCATTGACAAATATAAAAAGGTATTTCTACCTAAGGAGAATTATTGTCCAGAAATTATTATTATTATTTATTTATTTATTTTTTACAGAACTATAAGAGGGTCACTGAGCTGGGCACGAGTTTGTTGCCACCACTAGAACAATAGGCCTTTTAGCTCTGCTCTTGGTAACAAAGCCTTGTGTTTGTGTGCAGGGAACACTTAGTATACTCTCTCTGAGGAGGAAAAAACGACGAAGAATGGGAAAATGGAAAAAGGAGAAGGTGGAAGCAAGGCAGGAACGGCAAGGACGGCAATAGCAGCTCCAATCTGGCCCACTTGACTCAGCCTCCAGTATGTGATTTTATAGATGCAAATCTGCTCATGTCATCCTTATACCAAAAATCCTTCAGTGGCACCAATCATAACACCAAGTGCTGGCAAGAGAAGATGAAATGTGCATTCTTTCACACCTATGATGAAAGTGTAAATTGGCAAAAACTTTTGAGAAAGAAATTTGACAATGGGAGTCTACAATTTTCATACTGTTGATTCATTAATTTCTTTTTTGGTACCAATCACAAGAAATCATTGACAGGATCTAAGCGCACGCAAATAGGAACACTGTTGTATCATTTATAATAGTGACATCCCTTCTTCCTCATTTCCGTCTGTATGAGAATAAAGTATATGGTATCCATGACGATAGACTTTTGTGCTGCCATTAAGATATTTACAAAATCTCAAAAACATTAAATATGTATATCACATTAAGTGTGAAGGTGAGATACACACTTATTTATACACAACATGCCCTCAGCTAAGTAAAAATATGTATAGGAGAAAAGGACAAATACCCTTAAAATCTTAACAGTGGTGAGTTCTGGATAATTAGATTCAAGATCATTGTTATTTTCTACTTGATGCTTTTCTACATTTTTCGTATTTTCTGTAAGTACGTATTCATGTTTTAACTTAAAAGTCCTTTAAAAAAAGACCTGTCAGCTGACTGCTCTTCATACTTGTAAGCATGACGTAAACTCCCTGGCTTGATGCCCAAGGCCTGTACCCATCGGTCAAGAGGCTGCCTCTGCAGTTTTGTTTCCTGACACTGTGGGGCTAGGTACCTGCTCCAGACATGCACAACAGCATGACGTTCTCCAAGTTATCCCTCCTCTGTGCTTCTACGTATGCTGTACCCCTGCTGGAAATGCCCACTTCCACTTTGACTTTTTCATTAAGACTCAGCTCAAGGGCCATCAACTTTGAGAAGCCTCCCTACACTTGCCTGCCTGCAGTTTGGTTTAGATCCTCCAACTTTTCCAGGTGGATGTGGTCAGAGAAAGAACAAGAGGCTTGATGTACGACTGGTGGTGGGCAAGAGAAGGCTGAGATACTGCAGCAGGGGCTCTAGTCCGAATAGGGAAGGAGACGAAGGACTGGAGGAAAGGGAGGAGGGGGAGTTCTAGAAGGTGTTGAGAGCCAGTGGGAGGAGGAGGGCTGGAAAGGGGTGCAGTGAGCAGTGCTAGTACATGCCCAGTGCCTCGTACGACCCCAGTGCTGGGCAGCTGAAGAAGAGGGTGGTGATGGGCCTTAGCATCAAGGCGAAGTGAGGCTAGGTCAATGGTTGCCATACTTTGCTGCACGTCAGTGTTACCTGGAAAGTTTTTACAAATAACAACGCCCAGATTGCCTCTATACCAGTTAAATCAGAATGTGTGGGACTGGGAGCTAGGTAT